AATATTTTCCCTTAAGGAACGGAGAGCCTCACGGAGAAGTAATTTTACAAACATTACAGACAACACAGTAGTCCTTAGAATGGAGATTTAGGAAAGCAGGGAAATGACATAATCAGAATTGCCGCTTTTAAAAAATCATTTTGTGGGAGGGAATAAAATCAAGGCCAGAGTTGAGATTTTGATGATGGGAGCAGTGGTAAGCGCATCAGCACGGCCGTGGGCATGGAGAAAAGGGGCAAGTCAGGACTTTGGAGGAAAAGTTACGACTGGCTGTAAAGCTAAAGGAGACAAGGAGGTTTCTAGAGTCCTGGCCAAGGCCCTGAGATGGGTAAGGATGCCATCTACCTGGCTGTTGACCACTGGAATGAGAGTAGGTTTAGGAGCAAAGAAAATTAATTTGAAAATTTCAGGTAATGTTGTCTAGGGAGCCTTGAGATATAAAGCATAGGATTTAGGAGGAAGATTATGCAGAGATAGAGAGAGGGAGAGAGAATTCTAGGTCACTATAATATGGACAGTCATGGAAGCCACGTCCTTGGACACGGTTTCTTGAGGAACGAACTCTGCAAGAAGACATGTGAACCAAGCCAAAACAGTCACCAGACCATGAGAGAACCACCTAGAATATGGCAGAAGGTCTCATTCTTTTCTGAAACACCCCTGGAAGCAGCAGAATGCATGAATGGAATTGGAAAACCACCTTACAGAATTTTCTTTGTTCTTTTGCAGCAGTCATTAACTGGGCAGACTTAGGGAGGGGTCTTACTATTGACTTCATTTACCCCTAACCTTCCTTCTGAGGAACTTCCCAGTTTCCTGTGTGTCTTCTGAAATTTCTTTTCATAGGATAAATGGAGCAAAGGTGACTATATTATTACGTTGAATTTTGAGTACAAGAACCTCTAGACCTAAGAATTTAGGATGAAAACATTTCCCAAGTACCAATAGCCAATATTGATATGTGCTGAAGTAAAAATTAGGACATTACCAAGAGATAGAGGGAGTAAGACGGGAGGGGAGAGGAAAGGCATGAAAAAAAAGAACTGAGGTGTGTTGTTATGTTCATGTACCACCTCCCCAGGAGGAATGTGACCATTGTATACTACAAAAACAGGAACACTGAAGCCGAGTGTGATGATGCTCACCTGTAATCCCAGCATTCAGGAGGCTGAGGCCGGAGGAACACTGTGAGTTTAAGGCCAACCTGGGCTTCATAGCGAGTTCCATAGTGAGATCAAGGTCAGCTTTAACTATATAGGAAAAGCCTGTGACAAAGGAAAAAAAAAAAGATCATTGGACAAGAAATAAGGGTTCAGGTTGCTGCCCCCACATGACTGTTGCCTGAGCCTGAGGTCACAGGATGGATCAGGTGATAAAAATGTATTTGAGACCCACGAGCAGGGCAGTATGCCAGACTGAGTGCTTAGTTTCTCCCTTCTCTGGGTCAGCTCACCCCGAGGTCGCTCTCCTCATCTATCTCCCGGGGTGGCTGTGGTCCTTTTTGTGTCCACGTTGTGAAAAGACATTCTATATTTGCCATCCATGGCTCTGAATGCTTGCTTTTTTCATCGTGTTATCACTCTTCTCCCTTTAAGCAGTATCCTTTTTTATTTCGGCACTTACAGAAAGCTATGTCTGTTGGCCGATTCTCTTTGAAGTTTTGAGTTGTGCTAAAATATTTATAATGTGTGTACGAGCACTTGAAAGGCATTTTAGCTTCCTTGAGATGCCTCTCTTGACTTACTGAAGCCTTTTGATGATAGGAACTGGCACAGGCTTTCGGGTCCAGGGTTGCTTCATTTTGGGAAGACCTCTTCGACATCATCCACCATTGCATCCCTGTTAAAGAATCAGTCTTGGCTTCCTCTTCCAGGGACCACACTGGGCTGTTGGCTGCTTCTTGGCTATCTGCAGACATTATGTTGGTAGTAGGCTCAGTGGTGGCACTTAGGGCTGGCTCTTACGGGGCTGGCTTTGGCCAGCACTTGTATGAGTGGAAGAACAGCTGCAGTTCTTGATGTCTGATGACCCAAAGGAACGTGCTGGGTTCCACACTGTGTCTCCTTGAGTGGCTCTGTGAGTCTGCCGGCAGAGGGATGTGGCACTTGGTAGTCCGGGAACCAAGAAGCCCTCCTGCTTTGTGAACTCCCCGAAGATGGGACTCATGCCCTGTTCCTCGTATCCCCCGCCTGATGTGCTTCTGGGCGTGCTGGAAGCCAACATGCCTTTCTGTTACATGGTGGAAGCTGAGTGCAGCTGGTAATAGGCTCAGTACAGAGGGCTCCTCAGTGGGGAGTAGTACGAACCGAGAGAGGAGGATGAAAGGGACTCTCAGGATCAGAGATGGCTCCATGTTGGTGTCAAATCCAGTCTTAGGATAGCGTCTAAAATCTAAAAACTGATGTGTGGATGAGACTTCTCATATAGCTGCTTCCTTACTGTGGAACCTCTCCTGTATGAGCGGCTTAACAAAAATATTCTAAATAAGCAATACATCTGAGGCTTCTTGAAACCAAATAGTCTGGTGGCTTGAAAACATATGCCGCTGGCTGTGGATTGTGTTTAAATGCCATTCTCCTGATTTCTCACATTATCTTCAATTATGCAGTAAATGTGAGAATAAATAAGTGCACTGTGAAACAGCCAAGGATAAAATACCATATGGTCATTAAAAATAACGTTTTCAAAAGCATTTATTGATAAGGGAAACTTCATTATGTAATGTTACACAAAAAGGCAATAAACTATATCTTGACACATATAGAGGCCAAATAAATTCCTTTTGAGTGGATGAGCATTTCCTTTAAAGCTTTGTATTTGTACAAAAAAGAAAAATGTCAGTGTGCTGATGGACGCGTCTCCTGACTCTTGAAGTGAAAAATCATGGACTAGTGATGACATCTGGTGTAGCCTGCACCTTTAGCCCTTTGGAGCTGTTTCTGTTTTAGAGACTGAGGTGGTAGGCTGCTGTAGAATGGTCCTCGGGGTGCCTCTCAGGTCCCACAAGCTTGAGTCATGTTTAGTGACTGTCTGGACAAAGCAGCTGTCACCGAGAAGGATGCCACCAGGCGAGTCTCACATGGTTCATGTCACTTGGCCAACTGAGACTCGATCAACCTTGGCCTCCCTTGTTTCCCATCATTTTATGACTGTCTTTAGTTTCCACCTCCTGAGCCGCTCCTTGCTGCTGCTGCTGCTGCTGCTGGGTGAAGAGGCCTGTTGATTTATTTATTAATTAATCTGTGCACGCTGAGGTGCTTTTCGGGGTAGTTAAACAGGGAAAACAAAATGCTGGAGCCCATAATCAAGATGGATTTGAATCGAAAATGATCCCCCCACCGATGATCTTCCTGTCTACCCTGGCTGCCCACACCACCCTCCTTGCCCACAGCTCGTTGCACCCCATTCACTTCTCATGGGCTTTGGTTCCATGAAAGCTGACAACAAATTTCAGAAGGACAGATTTTCTCCTAATGGCCTAGAGGGAAATAATCCTTGAGATGGGCTTCATCAGTTATTTGCAACAGCCATTGAACCTGTTGAACCCTACCCCAAAGCTTACTCAGTGGCTCTGTCTGTACACACAGCTACTCTTTTTCCTGTCCTAGTCCCCCACAAATGGAAGGTGGAGCTAGAAGGACAGTACAATAAACATAACCATGGCTTTGTGCGGCAAAGGAGAAATTCAGTGAAATTCAGTAAACTATCAGAGGTCACACAGAGCACCCTGCTTTCTTATGAAAGGTACAACAATGTAAACAAAGACATCATCCTCATTAAATCCACATTCTTTTTTTTTTTTTTTTTTTGAGACAGGGTCTCACTATGTAGTTGAGACTGACCTGGAACTCACAATGTAGTCCAGGCTGGTCTCAAACTCA